ATTTTCATATTATATTTTAACATTATTTATAAATTTAATATTTTTTCCTTTATATTGTTCTTATATATGTATATATATAACTTTTGGATTTGTTAAAAAATGCATAAAATTAAGTATAGATCTTTTTGGGTCATATGTCTTATTATATATCAATTATTGTACATCTTTGTATTATAATATACATAATTATAATTTTCTCATTTATTTTATACTTAAATATAAAAAAATATTCTGTACATTTGTTTGATAAAAAATTTGTTTTATTAGAATAAGACAAATTAATAGATAGATGAGTAATGATAATATATTGATATAATTTATTGCTTAGAAGTAATTAATTTTCAACGTATATAAGCATATCATAATTCTCTAGGTGGTTTTAATTAATTTATAGATAATCATATAATGTAAATTAAATCATGCTGCTCAAGCGGTATCCATTCGACATGAAATGAAAATAAATAGATTGAATTTTAGTACTATATAATTTCTAAAATTGTTCTAATCTTATTTTAAGGAAATAAATTGAGTAGATTAGATGTTTAGGCTGCAAAACAAGCATTCAACAATTAATCTCTCATACTATTACACATTTATTCTTTTTTATATGATCGTTTTGAAAAACAAAAAAAAAATAATTCTATACTTTATGGGCCTTATGAGGACAAACATTATCGATTTCAATTTTCTTACTTATAGTTAATATTAATATATGATATAATTTATTGGTAAAAATTAATTACTTTTCAGCGTATATAGACATATCATGATTCTGTAGATATCTTAATTAATTTGTAGATAATTATATATGACCCCCTATATATAATTGTAGAATACGCTGAGTCTAAGTGGCAACCTGCATACTTTGGAATCCTACTTGGCGGAAAAACATGTTTCGTAGTTTGGTTTGGATAAAAATTAATATTATTCTAAATCAATAATTTTAGGTTCGGACATTCAAAAAATATTGAAAAAATTTACTTGGTAATTCCATAATAGTTTCACTAATATAAACCGTAAGTTGTATTGAAACCTTTGGTAATGGTGTTGACCTTGATTTGTTTTGTAAGCTCTCAATCGGGTCATTAATTTTCATGAAAACCTTAAGTTAGCCTAATAAATGAATATATTTAATTTTAAACAATTGTTATTGTTATTATTATTTAATTTTAAAAATAATTTTCTTAACAAATACCCGTGTAGTACACAAGTATTGTACTAGTGTCTTATTATATATCAATTAATTGTACATCTTTGTATTATATTATACATAATTACAATTTTTTCATCAATCTTATACTTAAATACAAAAAATAAAAAAACGTACATTATTGCGATAAAATTTTGTTTTATTAGCATAATACAGATTAATAGATAGATGAGTAATGGTAATATATTGATATAATTTTGCTAACACAATTAATTAATTATCAACGTATATTGGCATATCATAATTCTCTATATATTTTTAATTAATTTATAGATAATCATATGATTTAAGTTAAATCATGCTGCTCAAGCGATATCCCATTCGACATGAAATAAATAGATTGGAATTTAGTATTATACAATTTATAAAATTGTTCTAATCTTATTTTAAACATAAAAATTGAGTAGATTAGAAGTTTAGGCCCATTTCACAATTAATCTACACAATTAATAATGAAATATTACACATCTTGATATTAATCACTTGCTGGTGAAGATTCATTAACTTTATTGGCTTTGCAACCAAAATTTGAAAGTACAAACCAACAAATAAATAAATGATGATTTTTGTGGGAACAAAAGTCAGTCCTATAAAATTAAGGTGCAATTTCTATTTCTAATTCTAAATATAAGAGTTTATTTTTCTTAAATAATGAAGTCGTTAAATGAATTCTTTCACTTTTCTAGTTTGTTCGATTATTTATATATTTCACGTGTGCATGATTTCGGTAGACTTTAGGTATCTTCTCTTAATTAAAGTTACGTATGTATCATTGAAATTATTTATTATATACAAGTTACCCCTCAACTAAGTTATTATGTTTTGCCAAAACTTGTCGTCTTGTTAAAGGATAGGTAAATAAATAGTTGAGAATATTTGGATTTTTTATAAGTATTTATTATGTTGTTTTTGTTGCATCATTTTTTCCTTAAAGAACTTTTATATATTGAAACCATTCGATATAATTACGATTTTATCATTAAAATTATATTAAGAATAAGGACTTTTTTAAAAACAATATTTCTCAAAGCTTTGTTGTTTGGGTTAATGTTGGGTTGATTTTTCGAAGATATTGAAGAAAATAGTTTGGGAGATATGTGGAAGAAAGCAAATTCTTGAGGAATAGTGGTGTGAAATATTATGGTTGATTTTTAAGAGATGTAGAATATTCTTTTCGTGTAATTGTATTTAATTAATTAAATATCAAATGGGTATTAGTGTATTACTAATTTGACATTAAAAATATGTCAAATAAAGGGGTTTTTAGGTAAATATGAGTTATTAATTAAAAATATTAGATGAGATGGATAATAGTGTATTACTAATTTGCCATTAAAAAATTATCTTTCCAAGTGCTTTAGGGTGGTTTGTAAAAGAAATAATTTGAGTAAATTAACTCAAAATAAGTTTTTTTTTTAGTTAACTTGGGTTAATTTAGAAATAGTGGTATAGTTAGTTGTTAGTGGGATTTTGAGTTTATATTAAAATAATATTTAAAATAAAATAATTAAAATTGATTTGATGTAAAAATAGGAGAAAGTAAGAGAGAGATGATATGAAGTGATGGTTACTTAAAATTATGTGAGTGGATTATAAGTGAATTAAAGTTGATATGATGTGCAAAATTGATTGGTTGTTATGATTTAATGATTGATTGTTATTATATAATTATATTGATAATATTGAAGATAGTGGGGTTGAGTTAAAGTTGAGTTAGATTTTGAGTATGAATTAATTTGGATCGAGTAAATTCTATTACAAACATAGCCTTAGGTAGTTCATTTTTTTACAAAAACACTCGTCCTTTTATAGTAGTATATATATATAATATATAATATATATACAATATATATAGTATAGATATAGATATAGATTATGTTGGTATTGCTTGTAATAATCACATCTTTGTCCTCTCAGGCCCAGTGATAAATTCCATAGAGCCGCAACCAGGATTTATTCCACCTCCCGGGAGACGTCTGGTCGTTCCATTGAACATCTGTGTTCTGCAGGGCTTGTCCTTCGTAAAAGCTCGTCTTCTATCAATGGAAATTCCAGCTCAGGTTGGTGAGTCTTACACCAAGCTAGTGCAGTCCAAAAGTGATCCTACCGAGCAGGCCAATGGTTCTGAAAGACAAACTGACGGTTTAATGAGAATCGATCCTTACAGGGGAAGCTGGGGTCTGCGATTACTTGAACTGGAGCTGTCTAATCCAACAGATGTTGTCTTTGAGACTAGGGTTTCTCTTGACATGGAAAAACTCAATAACAAAGAACGTTCGTCCAATTCTACCTCTGCAGAATTTGGTGAACCCAAAACAAGGATTGACAAGGAATGTACTGCTAGAGTGCTAATACCACTAGAACATTTCAAATTACCTGTTCTTGATGGCTCCTTTCTTGTCAGGAGTTGTTCTCAAGGTAATGGGACACTCGGTGGTAGAAGTTGTAGCTTCTCCGAAAAGGATATCAAGGCTGAGCTCAATGCATCCACTAAGGATTTGATCTCTAGAATTAAAGTGAGGTGGCAATCTGGACGTAACAGTTCAGGAGAATTAGACATTAAGGATGCAATACAGGATGCTCTCCAGGCATCGGTTATGGATGTGCTACTTCCGGATCCACTCACGTTTGGATTTAAACTTGCTAAGAGTAGCTCAGAGCATTCCCGGGAAATGCAAACCGAGCCACTCATCAAAGCGCATGACATGACTATGATGGAAGTGCTGGTACGCAACAATACAAAGGAATCTATAAAAATTGTCCTTAGCATCACATGCAAAGATGTGGCTGGTCAGAACTGCGTCGAGGGTGGCAAGGCAACTGTTCTATGGGAAGGTGCTACATTAATTGCATTGAATTTCCTTTTAACTTCTAATAATCTTTATCTAATGGCCCAAGCTTCTATGTGAAATAAGCTTTTTTTTTTTCCCTTTCGCATGTTGATATATATCTCAGGTGTTTTGAGTGGTATAGCCATGGAGGTTCCTCCACTTGAAGAAAAGAGGCATATATTCTCTCTGTATTTCCTGATCCCAGGCGAGTACACTATGTTGGCTGCTGCTGTGATTGATGAGGCTAATGAGGTTCTTAGAGCTAGAGCAAGAAGTCAATCATCTGACGAGCCAATCTTTTGTCGTGGACCGCCATTTCATGTGCGAGTGAATGGGACTGCATGAGTTTTTGCTACTGTGTCTTGGGGTTTGTTGGAAAATCAAAATATACATCACAAAAGAGGCTATTTGAATGACAATCAAGACATGTTACTTTCATTTCATCTTTTATGAAACAGGTCTTGTGCAATTTATTCATTACACTTTCAAATATTGGCTTTCCATTAAATACTAGCTTATAATTTAAAATTGATTTTGGTTATCTAATTTATAATCAATTTATGATAATTCAGACTTAGTTATAAGTATGTTTCCATTTAGTTTAATTAAATAAAAAAGATTCTTTTTTTNTATGGGAAGGAACTTTTAGTTTGTAATTTTGATTGGATATGCTTTTCTTGAAGAAAATTTCTCACTAGAAAATATGTATATAGATGTAATAACAAATTTATAGTAAATAGTACAATAAAATTTGTTTTAGAATATATGTAAATAGATTAATAATAAATTTATAGTAAATTGTACAATAATTTTTTTTATTTATAAAATTTGACTAAGAAATTAGGAAGGAAACACATGATTCAATAGTGTAATAACTAATAACTATTATAAAAAAATATCCTGAGATAAAAACGAAGTAGTTAATTTTATCGACAAAATTGAAATTACAGTCTAAATTCGAAAATCTTTTTCTATATATTCCCCTTAGAAATAGAACATGAACTCAAGAAAATTTGTCGGGTGAGGAGTAACAAAAACTTGTTCAGCTGGAGTTCAATCCATCGCTAAAGAACAGCACATAGGCAACAATGGCGTCGACGGAGGGTTTGGTGCCCATAACAAGGACCTTCCTGGCTTCTTACTACGACAAATATCCTTTTTCTCCTCTTTCCGATGACGTTTCCCGTCTCTCCGATCAGATGTACGCCATGGCTGCCGATCTTCTTAAAGCCTCTCCTCCTACTCAAGGTTTTTTTTTTTTTTTTTTTTNTTTTTTTTTTTTTTTTTTTTTCATTTTTAATCATTATCCTTAAATTCACGTATATGTTCAGTCGTATTGTCATTTTGGATCCCATTTCTTCCTTTGAGATTTGCGATTTTGACTTCCTTTCACCCCGTGGTGAGTTTCAATTTGTTGGACACTATGCTAAATCCACTGCTAAAGTTTGATTTATATACGAATATTTTTGTGATTTGGGGTTGCAAGGAAACTGGATTTTTTCCAAATTAGTTTTCACCTGAATAATGTTTTATCAGGTGAAAGGTTATTGGTACAAGAAGCTGAGGCCAAACCTCCGCATAAAGTTGATGAAAACATGTGGAAGAATCGAGAACAGATTGAAGAGATCCTTTTCTTGTTGGAAGCCCGTCATTGGCCCGGAGCGGTAAAGATTGAATGAATTTCATATCCTGGCAGAACGCACTTTAGTTGTCCATTTCCCATTTTGGAGAACTAAGGCCTGTTCAATGATAGGCTGCATTACGTAAAATAAACTAATTTCTCATGTTAAAACAATCCTTGGATTGGATATAACTAAAGTTGATGTAACTATTCTATGGGCCGGATTGGATATAACTTATTCTGGATTTGATTGAATTTATTAATAAAGGAGGTTAATTTCGAAAATGTCGATTGAGTTTTGTTTGGATGTGATTTTGAGTTTGTATTTAAATAATATTTAAAATATAATAATTAAATTTGATGTAATATAAAAGTAAGAGAGATGTTTATAAGTGATGAGTAGTTAAAATCATGTGAGTGGATGAATAGTGAATTAAAGTTGATGTGATGTGTGATGATGATTGATTGATATTATTTAGTTATATTAATAATATTGAGGAAAGTTGAATTGAGTTAAGTTTGAGTTGAATTTTGAGTTATAAAAATTATTTCTATCCAATCATGCCCTATATGATGTAGACTGCATGGCAGTAGAGAAAAGAACGAAGAAAAATAAGAATCTCATGTTGTATCTAATTCTGCATTTAACAGCTTCAACAACAGCTAAGTGCTGAAGATGCAGAAATTGCTTCTGTTCTTGGGCGTATTCAAGAGAAGTTCAAATCTACATTGAAGACTTTGGAGGATTTCCAAACCAGAAATTCTGAGTTTGTGTTCAATACAGGTTACATTCGCTGGAGCTTTTCCATATTCCTTTGATGTCCTTGTAGTAGCTAAATGTTAAATATGATGGAAGATGTGATTGCTCTATCCATTATAGTCTTCTGGAGGACCTGTCATGTGTCCTGGGAGCGTATGCTTGAGCGTTGTATTCCATAAATTTTGTCCTTCTCTCTCTCTCCCCCAAGAAAATAATATTGTGGTCAATGTTGTTTAGGAAGCCTTCAGAATGCTATATTAGGCATTTGGTATGATAATCCTTAGGAACTGAAAATCTTTGACTAACACTCCCTTGATTCTGATGAATAAAGTTATTTCATTGTTTCTTCCCTGCGTTACGTTTCATAGTTTCCCTGTAAAAATGTGAATATACAAAAGCTACAATTTTCTACCTTGAGTGGATCTCGAAGTTCTAGCTAGTGGAAGTTGCAATTAGTACTTTTTCTATAGTAGTTTGTCAACCAGTACTTGTGGTAATGGTGGAACATTAATGGTTTTCTGCATATTTTCCATATCATCTTCTTTCATTTTCTTTACGGAAGAGATTGAAAATCAAGAAGCATTAGATTGTCGTGTGTCAGGATATGGTTAGATTGTTTCCTTGTCTACTCCATTCTTTTACTTATGAGTTTGTAATAAGTAATATGATTATTTTAATTACTGGATTCAATCCTTATAATTAAGGGATAGTGTCTGTACATTATCTATATGAAGGCCCCAATGCTGAGAATCTTGTCTCAAGCAATTTCAGACATTCCCTTCTCTACTTCAATATGTCCGATTCTCAATTTCAAGATCCTGGTCATTTATATCATTATCTGGCATATGTCGTAGATGAGCTGTAAATAAATTTTCATCTACCATTGCAGTAATGACGTATATGCCACAAGATTTCCGGGGTACAATAATTAGGCAACAGAGAGAGCGTTCTGAGAGGAACAAACAGGCTGCAATTGATGCTTTAGTTAACTCTGGTGGAAGCATACATGACAAATATGTTCTGCTATGGAACCAACAGATGGAAAGGTAGGATTCACTTGTGTCTGTTAATTCTCACAAACAACAAAATGACTCATTTAGATCTATGATTCATTTCCATGCAGAAGGAGGCAGTTAGCTGAGCTTGGTTCTGCCACTGGTGTTTATAAGACTCTAATGAAGTACCTGGTAGGCGTGCCAGAGGTACATCTTTGCTCAATTGGTGCTGCCCAGCTAGTGTCGTTTATGTTGTCAACTTTTGTTTTATGTAATTTTCTCTATTATGGTATCAATCTCTTCCTTTTTCGTAATGTGGTCGTTGTTGTCTCTAATGTGTGCCAGCCTGCCGCCTTCGAAGTGTTTATTAATTTTCCTTCTGTTTGATTGTTGAATTTACTATGATGTACGTGCTGCAGGTTTTGATGGATTTTGTTCGGCAAATAAATGATGATCAAGGGTATGCACTACATTTAATATGCAAATACGAAAAGTTATATCATCACTGAGCCAAAATTTTATTATTTCATTGAGGACCAAACAATATCACTTGCTATTTTAGTTCTGAGTTCATGTTTTTCAACAGGCCCATGGAGGAGCAACGACAAAGATATGGACCACCTCTATATAGCCTTACAAAAATGGTCCATAATATCCGACTATATGTCTCTTTGCTGTGGGGGCGTTTTGAATTTAGAAAATTGTGAGGCTTGTTGAGATTCTATTAATTTCAGTTCTTTAGATGATAATATGTTGGAAAACTGGTAATGGACTTCTTTGTTTTTCTACGACCTCCCACAATGATTTAGGGACGATTCTAGAGCTTTTAATCTGGACCACCAAATATCTATTTTAGAGGAAGCGACTGATGTCTACTCTTCTGAGGTTGAACGATTTATTAACTTTATCAGGTACTGAATCCTTCTTATGCTTTGAACTCCATTATGCAACCTGTACCTATGCATGTAGGTTCACTCCAAGNAAAAAAAAAAACTCAAATTTAACTCAACTTTAACCCAACTCCACTATCCTCAATATTATCAATATAATTAAATAATATCAACCTATCATTCTTACACATCACATCAACTTTAATTCACTATTCATCTTTTTTTTTTCCAAAACGATAGATGATATTATAAATCAAAATGCACAAATGTGCGAATACACAACAGTCAACGACTGAATATACAGCAGTCAACAACTGAAAAAGTGGGAGGACAAGTCAGAAGACCGCCTAGAGACCCGACTAGCAAGGCTAGAATAAAACTCGCAACTAAAACTAACCAACTAAAAACGACTAAAACAACTAACAATAACTAAAAGGACCCCAACGGAGTAATACCCGAGTATCGGATCCCATTGGGATAATAAGGTGATACTCGGGTTCACAGGGGCCAAACGGCCCAACACTATTCATCTACTCACATAATTTTAACTAACCATCACTTCCAATCATTTTCTCCTACTTTACATCAAATCAACTTTGATTATTTTATTTAAATATTATTTTAATATATCTACTAACAACTAACCATACCACAATTTTTAAAATTTAACTATAGTTAAAAAACAAACTAAATAAAAACTAGTTGAATCCATAAACAATTACCCCCTTATTTATTTACTATTGTTTATTTTTGGTAATTTAATTTGTGTAAGCTCCAAGCCTGAAAATATAGTCTCGGAAATGTAGATCCGTACTATATTTAAAGGTGATTACAGTTGGTTTAACTGTACTCTGTTCTTAAGCTTGATGACATCTGTTCTTAAGCTTCATTTGACATGTAGTTGCTTTAATACTGTTTGAGTAGTTGCTTTAATACTGTTTGAGTCTGAAGCTCCTTATTTGCCCTGGCTTCACCTGTATATTTAGAAGTATATGAAACTGTTATGTAAAGTAGCCAGGAAAACCATTTCACTACTATTGGAGTTTTATGTCTGAGGTTAAAAAAACGTCTGCATTCGGTTCTCATTTTTTGTTTAGTACATTAATCCAATCGTCGGTTTTGCAGGGAGGTTTTCACAAATTCCCCCTTTCTTATTAGTGCAGAGGATGCTGGTACATTATCGGCCAGGTGTGCCAGAACTAGGCTTATCATTTGTTTAACTTTTGTCATGTGAGGGATGTTTATTCACTTTTTCCTTTTGTTTTGATTGTGAACTTGGAAAAAACACAGTAAAAATGATGACTACAAGGAAATAAGTGTTTCAGCAGGGGAGACTTATGAGGTGCGTTTTCTATTATTAAAATCATTTAGTATATCCGCAATTATTAATGTTTGTAGCTCTGTGACTACTATCTATTTCTCGCTTGATATTTTAAAAATGGTACCATGCACCTGCATTCAGAACCTATGAGACCTATAATGTCCGGCTGAAAATGAGAGAGTTACTTCCCCTGATCGAAGTAGGGATTCAGCTGTCTATTTCCCCGCCTGAATTATAGCATATTGGCATGAACTCTATTTACTTTGGCAATTATATTTTTCCATGCTGCTATCACATATGGTGTTTTTCTTTTAGGTGGCTTTGACAGTGGAATCGGTGAATTCATATATTGCTTGGGATTTCTCATTAGTCCAGGGAAAAATGAATATGGTACTCTTCTTAGAACTTCTTGATTTTTTTGTACTGCCGTTACTAATGTGTAGGAATAGTGGATGATTTGTCCCTCCATTGCATGTCGATCGACCATGTAGTGGAATGACATAAGCTCGACAAGAAAACCTATTGCAGAAAAAAAAATGGTTTTTAGTAGCTTTTATTTGTATTTCAGATTGGTATTTTACTGAAGACATTGCTGAATATTAACAAATATAAATAAGAAAAACTGACGCTACTTCTGTTTTCCTAATTTTTTTTCCCAAGGGGTATCTGGTAACTGAAAACTCTACTTTACGAAGTGAACTTATGGCTTTTTGGATCAGTGTCCATTGGTCAATGTTTTGACGACAAAGGTGTAGTTGTAGCACTCTGAATTACCGAATATTACCTTAAAACAATGACCAATAAAAGGTTTATGTAGTTGTGTCTATTTGGCGTTGCAACATAAAATACATAACTATTCATTTTTCTGCTTCTCTGCTATGGATAGGCCATGCAATAATTATACTTCATGGGATGTTGTGCATGGTAAATGATTTTTTGTATTTGTTAGTCCAGTGGATTGTTATAGTTGAGGCATGATGGAGGGGTCATCTTGATTATGTCATTTGCGGTATCTCAATATTGTATATCCTAATTGAATGATGTTCCATCAGGACATTGGATTCAGTGTAGAGTGCACAGATCTTTCCGGGAGAAAAACTGTTAGTTAATTTGTTTTCCATTTTTTTGAAATGTTTTATTGTACTCTCTCCTTCCCTTGCTTTATTTTTCTATGTTGCTCTCTCTATTCTAACTTCCGTTGCTATCAACTTTAGCTAATTCTGCCTTACCGACGTTATGATGCTGACCAAGTGAGTATTGCCCCCTTTTCCTTTCCATTTCTTTCTTTTTTTTCTTTCTGAATCTCAATTATACATTTATACTGGTTTCGGAGTCGTCAAGTGTTTGAATTCATTTGTCAGGGTAACTTCTGCACATGCGTATCAGGAAACTATAAGCTTATCTGGGATAATTCATATTCAGCATTTTTTAAAAAGGTCGGTAAACTTATCATATAGAAAATTGCTTATAGAAGAGTGCAAGTCTTTGGTGCTGCCAAATTGCTTTCAGTATATAAATATGTGAATTCTATTAATATTTTGGGTATGTTTCATGTGGTTTGTCCATGTAACTGCAAATGCATGCATGACCTGCAATTAACAGCTTGAAGAAAAATCCAATCCATCAATCTGTTTAAGCACATGGTTTGTTGTCACTTGTCAGCTACAAACAGCATTTGAAAGTTTCTTACATATGTATTTTAGTTGCTTTAGACAATCATAGAATGTTCCATTTTTTTTTTCTCCGTTCATTTTATTTTTTATGAATCTTCATGATTAAATACACGTGATGCAAGAATAAACCGAAAATGGTACTTTTTGTTACTTTTTTCTTTTAGTGTTTTCCTAGCCTAACCTGGTAATGAAAGTGGGAGCAGAGATCCCACAAAACTTTTTTCTTACGCCTGTTAGATAGTACAGCTCTTTTACTGTAGTACTCGTCAATTTTTTCTCTTTTTTTTTTTTCGATATCTTACAGTTTGTTGATATATAAACTCTATTCTCTCGTCCATCCTTGTTTTCCCATTTTACTCCATTCTGGAAATTGATCTCAAGAAAATTTCACGAGACTGTTTTTTTTTCGCTGATTATAGCTTCGGTTTGTGACAGGTACTTTGGTACAAGGTGGACTGCATCCCTCCAGTTGTGGATTCTGTATCTGCTTCTGATCAATAGGATAATATTAATACTCTCCCATCAATGACATTCTTCACAAAGTTGTTCTTGCTTTTGTTACATTGTTTTGCTGGTTGCAAGAAAGTCTGACTTTGGTGAATCAAGCATCTATGAATTTCACTTCTGTGTGATGTGATCTACAAAACTGTACCTCATTTCCTTCATGCCATTAAGCTGCTTCTGTTTTTCTTCATCTTGCGGCGATTTTGTTTATATTCGCTATCTGATACTGAATTCTGGTTTGTGTATATTGATGAAACTCTCGATTTGACATTGACATGAATTTTCCTCTTTGCAGGAGAAAAGCAAAACTTTTGAACTACTGCACATTTTTTTTTTTTTTTTCATCTGTAAGCTATTTAAAATAGTTCTTAATCATCAACAGACAACCAAATATTTACACAACCATAAGATAGAATGCATCTAGAAGTTGTATATAATTGAGCAGGGAGCAATGGTCATGCAAAGTAGAGAATAATATCGAATGAAGCGGACATGAATTAATAACAATTGTTTTTCTTTACGTTTTTTTTTAGCTATTTTCATTAGTATGAGTTCTTCTTTAAAGTTAAAAGCTATTTTCAAATTCTTACCAAGTGTATTTTAAACATGGGATTTTGGAGAGAAAATTTTACATCAAAATATGAAATAAGTTGATTTTCCCACAAAAATACCAAAAAGCAGATTTTCCCACTTTAAAATCACATGTACATACACATATAAAACCATATCACTCCCTAGGGAAAAAAAAATAGTAATAAAAAGCATAAAACGATTTGCCTCCTTTGTGCGAAAAATACAAATGAAGAATGAATTCATTTGACATAAAGAGCATAAAACGACTTGCCTCTTTTAGCGAAAATGAACTTATTTTAAAATTGAAGGATTGTAAATGAATTTATTATAAGCTAGCACTCTTTCACAAATCCTAAAGTCACTAAAGACTAATGATTTTAATGATTGAAAATAACAATTTGTGCTTAATTAAATAATTCAATACGAATCTATTTAAAAGTCACCTATTTATTAGAAATTAAGTAAAATAATAGTTGATAGGTGATTTCTAAGAAGCAAATAATTTCTAATTATTATTAAAAAATATTGTTAAAGGTAATTTTATTAGATAATTTAATTTCTTATTTTCAAAAATATTCTTTTTATGTCTTATTTTTTGTTTAAATATAATCTATATATCTATATATAATAAGAATTACCATTTACCAAAAATAGGAACTAAAAAATCCAGGATCACTAATTAGAGTAGTTTATTTATTTAAAAAAAATAAGTAGAGAAAAATAAAAAAAAAACGAGTGGAAAAAAAATAAAAAGGACGTATTTCTCGAATCCGTTTTTCTAATAACATTTTATTAGAAAAACGGATTTTCGTTATACGTTTTATATTTAATTTTGTATAATTTATAAAATATTTATTTCCTTTTAAAAAGAGAGGAATGGAATAAAAATTAATAATTATAAACTGTATTTAACAAATCCGTTTTTCAAAACCCCAAAAATCAATCAATTTAGGGGTTTGAAAAATGGATTTAATGATTTTTGGGGTTTTGAAAAACGGATTTAATAAATCCGTTTTATAAAACCCTAAATTGATTGATTTTTGGGGTTTTGAAAAACAGATTTATTAAATACGTTTTTAATTCATAAAATTTAAATTTAAAAAAATATATTTTAAACCGTATAATATAATTACGTTTTTAATTAGCTATAAAAAAATTGAAACGTATAATTATTATACGTTTTTAAATGAAATAATTTTGTAAAAAAAAATAATTAAAAACGTATTTAATAAATACGTTTTACAATTAAATAGGTCTAAAACGTATTTAATAAATCCGTTTTACAATTGAAATAAAACAACAAATCTTCTTTTCTTCCCTCATTTCATTTGTGCGACTTCATTAGTTTCTTCAGAAAAAATTGCGAGAGCTTATCGGAAAAAAAAAATAAAAAAAAAATAACTTGATAAAAAAAAAAAAAAAAAAAAACTCGATCCAATCGTCACTCTGACGTGAATCAACAACAACAACACGAACCTCATTTCCGATTAAGTCATTCGCACGAGGTATATTAGCTTATCTCAACTTTTGACATTGTTTGGAGTTGTTTGAAAATTAGTAATTGTTATAGTATATTTGAATGTGGTGGTGTTTGAAGATTGTGGATTGTTAATTGTTTATCGATTATGTGTGTATGTTGAATTGGAGATTAGAAATTTGTTCTAAATTGTCAATTGTTGAATTGGGCTTAAGGTTTTTTGAAATTAGGGTTAGAATTAGAATTAGGGCTTCCAATTTATTCGAAATATAGGTAAATTGCATGTTATTGTTGGATTATGGGTATTAGGATTTGGGAGGATTAATCGATTGAGAATATTTTTTTTAGTTTTTTCGCTAGAGTAAAAAGATGGGTTTAAAGAATAATTGAATTTTTTGGGTGTTGGATTACACATTATGTGTTGTTGTATTGGGAAGAATTGAAAGTTTTTGTTTGCAACAGGTATAAATGGCGTATTGTGGTCCGTATTTTGTTAATTTGTATTGGCGATTTGCGAGGGAACAGTTAAGAGATTTTGTTTCATTTATGGATAGTCCGGATGGTTTATTTGTTATTACGGGGAGGATATCATATGAACAATTGGTACAGATGATTAATGAAAATTGTCTGTTTGGAGAAGGTTGGACAATTCAAGCGATTACTTTAATGTTTCGTCAACGCGATGTCGTGGACTGCCGGAAGATTCAATAACGATAGTGCTCTTGAGTAGATTTAGTTATCTCCTCCTATGTCCGTTGTGTATTTGCATTTATCGTTGGAGGCAATTACACCGGTCACACAATTTGAAGATTTTATTCCTTATTACGGGAGAATGGATGAGGGCACGTCGACTTCTCATCTACATAATTTTGGAGAAGGGACAAGCTCACCAATTAGAGAAAGGGCAAATGAGGACGGGGAAGAAAGTGACGAAGAGTTCGCACTCGGTGAAGATGATTTCACAGACGAGACCTCAGAAACCGAATCAGATAGATCAGTGAATGGGGAGAGTGAAGCCGAGTTCATTGAAGAAGAATTCCCCTTTCCTAGTGGTGGTCGGCACGTATACCGCGAGATGGGTGAATGGGAGCCGTCCAGGATAGATGAGGACGAGTATGATATTCCACGCTGGAATGGCGACATTGAGACCATATGTTTGGGTATAGTTTTTCGGAGCAAGCAATGGGTTGGAACGTCGATAGATTGCGGGAGATTCGGGTAAATGATTCAAATCAAAAGTCATACAAAATGGTCTGCAGATCTAGTGAAGATCCGCCTTGTGTGTGGAAGGCTCGGGTGACTAAGTCCAGACGGGTTCATGAAATGTGGGAACTAACTGAATGGACTGATAGACACACTTGTATGCAACCGGTCGAGAGAAATGACCACAGAAATGTAACCGCCAAAATGATTTCAAATCTCATTCGTAATAAGATTCGAAAGAAAGTGGAGTACAGCGTCGACATGATCCAGGCTGATGTGAAACAGTGCTGGAAAGTGGATGTCAGCTACAAGAAGGCATGGCACGGAAGCAGAAAAGCCATCGAGAGTGTATATGGCACTTGGGAATCGAACTTTGCAGAACTCCCTCAGTAAGAAAAAATTAATTACAAATATATGTGTTGTTTGTCTGTCGCTATTTTTATCTATTTATTATGAAACCATTTTGTAATGTGTAGGTATTTGCGCTTCAAAGAACGAATCCCTCCACAGTTCTAGAGTGGGAATGGCAGGGTGAGGAAATGACGCGACAACTTCGAGACAGACAATTCAAATTTGTATTCTGGGCGTTTGGTCACGCCATTCAAACTTTTCAAATGTGCCCGCTGGTTATTAGCGTCGATGGCACACATTTGCGTGGATCCTACAAGGGAAAATCGCTTGTGGCCACGACACAGACTGCGAATAAGTGCCTATTGCCAGTCGCGTATACGCTTGTCGATGAAGAAAGCACGGACAATTGGTCATTTTTCCTTAGGAATCTGCGGCAATATGTAGTCTTCTAGAGACGAATCTGCGTTCTTTCCGATAGGGATGCGGGCCTACTCAGTGCCATTGAATCACTAGCAGATTGGCAAGAACCCGCTGCGTATCACCGAATTTGCCTTCAACACCTTCGAAGCAACTTGGTGACTAAGTTCATGAGTAAGAAAATTCGGACTTGGTGTTGGGAATTGGGTTCGCAGTTGTCGGAGCGAAAGTTTCGAGGGACAGAACAGCGACTGTTGGCATTGAGTTCAGAAGCACACAATTACCTTTTTCGAATTCCTTTGAACAAGTGGACCCTACTGAAAGATCAAGAACGCATATGGGGCACATTGACAACGAATATGTCGGAGAGTTACAACAACGTTCTGAAAGGGGTTAGGTTCCTGTCGTGCAGAGCTTTGGTAGACGCCATTTGTTTCAACAAGAACAAAACAAGTCCACGAGATGTGGGAGTCCCATTGCTAGGGAGCACTTTAACGCATATTTGCAATTGGAGAAGACAGTCGCCACTCATAGTGTGAGAGTTAGAGACGCCGACAGCTCCATGTACGAAGTGAAAACCGGTTACGGGCTAGTGGAAGAGGGTAAAACAAGTAAGTATATGTGTTTTTTTTCTTTGTCCATTCAATTTTTTCATATTGTATATATATAAATCACTGGGGAATTATTACAAGTATAAGGTAGATTACAACCGAAAACGTTGTAGTTGTTGGAAGTGGCACACGCATAGGAAACCATGCTCTCATGCGATAGCAGTATGTCGTTCAGTTGGGACTGACCCAAAACTGTTGTACAGTGATTATTTTTGGACGGAGAACTGGGTAGCTCAATTTAGCAATTGGAGTTTTGCTCCGATTGGTAATCCGGATACATGGGCGCAGGTCGAGTGGAAATTGATACCACACTGGGAGAGGATGATCTTGAAGCCTGGACCCGGTCGCGTGCAAACGAGACGATATCGCATGCAAATGGATCGTCGGGCACGCCGCAGGAGGGATAGGGGACAGTGCACTAGATGCGGTGATCCAAATCATGTTGTGGATGAGTGTCCGTCTTCACATCCTCGCACCGACAGGTCTAGACTTCGTGATGCGTGGGGAAACTAGATTTGTTAGTGTTTATTCGGATTTGTTTTGAGAGTTAATTTGGATTTGGTTGGATTATTTGAATTTGTTTGAATGATTTATTTGGAATTGCTTGGATAATATTTACTGTAATTTTGGTTTTGATGGTATTTTGGTTTAGATTGTGTATTTCGATTTGTTTTGTTGTCTTGGATTGTTAGAACAGGTTTATATGTGTG